TATATATATATATATATATATATATATATATATATATATATATATATAATCAAGTTCAACAGCGAACTCCTAACAGGGAACGAACCAACAAACTTCATTTGATTTGTTCGATTACAGTCCATATTCAAAGACTTGTAATGAAATTTAGTCAAACAGCTAAAAAATAGAAGAAAAAAAAAAGATATGCATCTATAAAATGCATAAGATTTTTTAAAAATTTTACTTGAATATTATTATTCACTTCATGATATCCACTAACGGCGTTGTAGATACACCTTGTTATTGCAGCTGCTGCCGGTGGTTGATAACCACATATTAATACCATTATTTTATCCCCTCAACATCAACAAAGTTTGTTCTCATTTAACTCTACACTCAGGTATCTTTTCATCGGCACAAAAAAGTTCACTGAATCACGAACCCTCCAACTGACCACTCCTAATCAGGCACACACACAACCCTCTCTCACTCATAAATGTTTTCTGTTTCATTTTTCACAGTGTTCATTCAACAACCAATTCAGGTAATTTTTGCATTTCCTTACTCTTTCGTTCATTCTTCTACTGTTTTCGGATATGATTTTTACAATTTCCTTTTCTGATTTCTCCAGGTTCAATGAACTTGGTTTTCTTCTTTCGTGGTTACCTGCCTTCAAACGGTTCGGTTCGTGTTTTTTAACAATTCAATTCGGTTTTGGTTAGTGCATGTAAGTTATCCGCCCCGTGGTTATGGTTCACAATTTTATTACTATCCGAACTTAAACGCCCCGTAAACAACCCTAGCATAAATACATTTATTTGGTTTATCAATAGAAAATTGTTATCATAAATAAACTATAAATATAAATTACATCAAGTTTACCATATCTTATCCAATTTGCCATATGCTTGTTTGTTATAGAAACCTCATATAATCAAAGAAAAATCTTTTTGATAAACCAATCTCTTTGAATAACATTTATCATAAAATTAATCACATTACTTATTTCTAGTTATACCAACCATTAACGAACAAATCATACATGTTTCCTTAGTAACACAAACATAGTCTTGTGAGTTTGAATGGTCTCCTTTGTAGTATAGAATACATGCTTAAATTCTTTTAAAAAAAATCCATATTTGGTCTTTATATAAATCAAGACAACTTCCATATATAAATGGAAAAATATATCTTTTTTTTGGAACCGACAAATTTTATTAAAGCCCACCCCCTAACAAGGAGCTAAAGGGTGCCGAAAGTTACAAAACATAAATCAGAGATTACAGAAAGTAGAAAGGACATTTAAGCCATTTCCCCCATACAAAGTTTCCTTTCCCATACCTATGCTTAATCCAAACATGGACCATTGATCCAACTCCTTCAAACACCAATTCCGGGGAGGTGAATTTTGTGTTAAGGATTCTATCATTCCTTGCTCTCCATATACCCCATAGTGCACTAGAAATGATTGAGAGTAATGTTGTCCTGCGTTTTGGGCATTGCCCTGTCATGGCTGTGTAGGTTAACTTCTCCTTTAGACAAGAGAATTTATTGGGTGTGATACCGCACCAATCCCAAATCCGGTTCCAGATTTCGACAGCAAAAGGACATTTAAGTAACATGTGATCCGCTGATTCCATTCCGGATACACAAGCACTACATTGTGGAGAATGGATTTGTACCCCCCTTTGAGAAAGAGCAACCGCAGTTGGAATGTGGTCCATTCTTGCTCGCCATATAAAACAGCTTACTTTGGTTGGAATCCATTTGCTCCATTGAAATATTCCGTCCAGAATCATATGGGCTGCTCGATTAATCCTCTCCCTTAAAGATGCAACACAAAACTGACCATCAATTTCAAAGTCCGATTCCCATCCTGTTCCCGCTTGGTCTCTCTGGATAACAACAGAGCATGCAATATTCAATTTCCCCAGTGCAATTTTACATTTATCAATATTTTTCCACACACCACTTAAATATCTAGATGACATCCGAGATGGAAACCGCTCATCAAGTTTATGGAATCCGTTTATAATTCTCGCACATAATGCATTCCTCTCATGGAAGAATTTCCATCTCCATTTTGTTAGTAGCGCTAGGTTTAGTGCTTTAATGGATCCGAGACCTAGTCCACCCACCTTTTTTGGAGCGAGTATTTTTTTCCCATGCCACCCATCGGATTTTTGGTACATTATTTGGCCCTCCCCATATGAAATTCCTCTTTATTCTCTCCAAGTTTTCAATCACTCCCAAGGGGGCTGCAAAGATTGATAAGTAATAAGTGGGAAGACTCCCCAATACTGACTTTGCTAGTGTCACCCTCCCACCAAAAATCAATGTCTTCGATTTCCATCCGGAGAGTTTGTTGTTGATTTTTTCAATCACTGGCTTCCAAGAGTTATTGCGGTTCATGTTTGCTCCCACAGGTACACCAAGATACGTGAATGGTAATGAACATGACTCACATTCCCGCGGTGAGGACCATCTATCAACCTCATGTGGATTCACATTAATGCCATAGACTTTCGATTTGTTGAAGTTAACACTCAGCCCGGAGGATACTTGAAAACACTTAAGTATCCTAGCCAGGTTTTTTATGTTTTGCTTTGACCATTCTCCAATGAACAAGGCGTCATCGGCATAGAATAGATGAGAAATCTGAATATTGGAATTGGGAATAGAAATTCCTTGAAAAACTCCTTTTGACTCTGCTTCCTTTAACGCAATATTTAACCCCTCCATAGCCAAAATAAAAAGAAACGATGACAGGGGGTCTCCTTGCCTTACGCCTCTCTCCAGTTGGAATTCTGCCGTTGGACATCCATTCACTAAAACCGATGCCCTAGCTGATTCTAAGCATCCCTGCATCCAGACTCTCCATTTTATTCCAAAATTCATTTATTGCATCATAGAATCTAGGAATTTCCAGTTCACCGAGTCAAAGGCTTTATTAAAATCAGTTTTGAAGAGTAATATTTTTTTTTGTTGGTTTTCTTCCCCCACGAGCAAATCTCGTTTACAAAGGTCCTTCCAGGATGTTTCGTCATTCCACAAAAGCCGTTTGTACTTCATCAATACATTCCCCCCTTCCCGAACGGATTCTTGTTGCTAGTAGTTTTGCAATTATTTTATATAAAGATCCAATTAGGCTGATTGGTCTATAATCACCCAAGGAAAGCGGGTCTTTAACCTTCGCCGTAAGTGTTATAAAAGAGGAATTGCAACCTTGTGAGAAACTTCCCCATTGTTCAAAGTGCTTTACATATGCTAAGATATCCGTCTTCAATTCATCCCAATATTTTTTCAGAAATTTGAAGGTGAACCCATCCGGTCCCCGGGGCCTTATCATTCCTGCAGTTCCACACTGCCCTTTTCACCTCATCTATCGAAATATCTCCTTCCAAAAATTCTTTACTAGCGGCCGATATAGTTTTGAATTTTGAACTCCTGAATTCTGGTCTACGCTTCCATTTTTCTTTGAACTTTGAAGAAGAAAATCTGAAGATTTCTGCTTTCATCTCGCCCGGCTGATTTGACCACGCTCCATTTATCATAAGACCATTCATGTGATTTATCCGGTTGCGATTTTTAACGAATCCATGGAAAAAACGTGTATTTTCGTCTCCATCGATTAACCATTTTATTCTCGCTTTCTGTTTGATGTCCAAACTCGCCAATTTTTCCAATTCAGTGAGTTTACTTGACATCATAGCCCATTCTTCTTTTTCTAAGCCATTTAAATTATTCCTTTCAGCCTTTTTATCCAACTCTGCCATTCTTCTTTTGATCTTTACGACCTCCAAATTTTCCTGTGGGAGTACCATTGCCCTCCTTCCCCTGATTCTATTTTTTATGAATTTTAGTTTATTAAGGAAAATTGAATCTGCAGCACCATACCCTTTAAATTCTGAAATCGCTTTTAAAACAATTTCATTGAAACCAGGTCTCTGAAGCCACGAGTTAAACAACTTGAAGGGTACATGTCCAAAATCGCAGGAGCTAAGTTCAAGTATAATGGGACAATGATCAGACTGTTCTCTGGGAAGGGTTGTACATGAAGCTTGTGGGAAGTTAATTAGAAATTTATGGCATACAAGAATTCTGTCAAGTTTGCTTAACTTTGCTCTTGCCTGTTGGAAATATGTGTATATGTATCCCCCCATTTTTAAGTCTAATAATCCCCCCTCATTAATAAATCTATTGAAATCCTGGGCAGTGTAAGAACAGAAGTTGGAATTTAACCTTTCATCTCTTCTCCTCACGGCCCCAATATAACTACAGTAATAGTTAGTCTTGTTTTTTCATTATCATTTATCTTAATTTATATAGCAGTAAATCAATTCATTAATTCTTGGTCAGTAGACTATATGCTTAACAAAACTGGAAAGAAAAGAAAAGGTCAAAGAGCATTTTTTCGTAAGTTTTTGACAAAAATTAGCCAAAAATACAAAAATTGGCCTCAATAACTACACATTTTGCAGGACCCATTTCAAATGTGGAAGACAAGTGTTAAATCCTTTAAACGCCTTCGTTTCCTATCAGTTTGCAGGGTAGGGATTTCACATGTATTTAGCAAACTATGAGGAATCGAAATCCAAACTATATGGAAATGGTCGGATTTGATTTTGGTTAATGAGACCAACAACCCACATACATGTAAAGCCACTAACTTGAAAGGCCCGTTGGGCCTACGCCAATGACTGACATGGTCTGATTTGACCAAGGCTTATAAGGCAAAATTACTCCATTCGATTATTTTTTATTTTTTATTTTTTATTATTTTATTTTTTTTCAAATCCTTTGAGGCTTTGACCTCTTATCATAAAACTAAAACAATGGGTCATGCTTCCGTTTTAACGGTAACCATTCTTTAAAATTACTTGGTTCCTTCAACAGCACCTTCACTAAGTTTTTATCTAAAGATGCAATTACAGGAATGAAAAACCATAATCAACTTCAAAACCACGAAAGCAATGAATAAATATATGAAATCTAAGCACAACCAAGATGAACACTTTCTTGGCCAGAAAACAGAAGACTCAATACTTGACAATCAATTACCATCCATGTTTAACATGGGTAAACAGAAAATTTTGGTAAACTAAACATCAACATTCATGGAATTTAATTATTTTTATACCCACCAAACAAAACAAAAACAAAACCCCTTCAACTCATAGAAGACTTAACTTGTTACCATTCATTCATTCATTCATTCAGGGCTTAAGAGCCAATGCAAGACCAAACTTTGCACTCTTGTCAACAGCTTTCGTGTCAACTTCACCTGAAATGGTAAATAGAGACTTTGGACGCCACTCATGCTGAATCAATGCACTTGCTTTCCCAAAGTTGTTCACCCGTGCTTTGACCGTGGTCAATGGGTCCAAAGCATGCTGGCTACCAATTGTGATCGTGTTTTCATTGCTAGAAAAGCTGTGGTTGACTTCCGCACCTACAGCTGTGTTGGTCAACGGCTTAACAATGTGGTAGTATGATGCAGTCAGCGTGTCCCCCTTGTCATTCCTGTCACAATAATTAATTAATCATCAAAATAATTATTCTAAAAGATTGAGATTTTTTTTATAATAAAATAAACAACTCACAGGGTCAAAGCAGCAATAAGATCTGCATTAGAGAAGCTAATTCCAGCATTGTATTTGGTGAAATTTCCAGTTTTGGTGTCAAATGAAACATCGGTTCCAATTGAGCCAACATTGGTTCCCACCACACCAGAAAAGTTGACTATTGGGTTTGCAGTCAACCCAACACTTGTGCAGATTCCAGCATAGTCATGCAAGTATTGAAGTTCAAGCTATATTATAGTATATAAATGAATTACAATTACAACTAATATTTAATCACAAAACATTTTTAAATTTATTAATAGATAGATTATTACTTACCTTGCCAGACCTTTGATCAGGAACTTTGAAGCTGAGTATTGTTTTAAGCCCAGGTGCAGCTTCGTCAACAGTGATGGTTGTGGAGAGCTGGTAATGTTGCAGATAATATTAATTATATATATTGAAAAACAAAGAAAATGTTAAATAAATAAAATATATATATATATATATATATATATATATATATATATATATATATATATATATACAAAGGGATGATGTGTGTACATTGGAGTTGGTGTCCACTTTGACATCAGTAGTGATGTTGTTCCTCTTTAATTGTGTATTCACATCAGCGAGGAATATTTCACCTTTTTTCGTTCCAGATGATGTGATTGCCTACATGGTGTGGAAAATGAGAATACAAGTCTTGATGTAAATGACATTAACAAATGCAAGAATATATCGCATAGTATTCATTTTCTTAAACAAATGGCATACAAACTATAGCATCTCTTGATGTACAATTTCATTTCTTTTCTCAAGTAGTACACTAATCATAACATTCTCAAAGAGTCAATGTTAGATCACCGATTCACAATCATCATTAACAGAAACATTCATATCTGAAGACAGTCAAACAGGGAGAAGGTGGAAGAGACAACGAGATAACTAAAAATTACAAAAAAAATTTATCCTGAAAATGTAATGGACTGCAATCTAGAACTATTGATCCTGAAAATGTGAGACAAACACTACCAATCTCTACTTCTCAAATATGAGAAATAATATAATTAATCATCTCTTACAGAAACATGGACGATGGATGGATGGATGGCTTCAAATTAACAATTTAGAACTTGAGAAAGACATAAGCATCAATTACATTCACACAGGGTAGCCTACTGAAGTGCCTTTTAACAATGTCGATATAAAATACTATTCAACGGATCTACAAATACAATAACAAATGAAAAAATAACTCACAACTCCAGTAGGCGAATAGGTCGTGATGGTGAACTTCTGGTCCCCCTGGTAATCCCTGTATAGAAGATCTGCATCACACAGCATGACAGATTCAAAATTAACATATTTTGATCCAAAATTCCAACAACAAAACACAAATATAAGGAAAAAGGTTCCGATACACAAACATTTATCGAATATGGAATACTATATATGTATATTTCTATACACGATTACGCACATATATCGAACTATTCAATCTCATAAATAAATGTCGGGAAAGAACGAACCTCTGGCCTTTTTGCCGATTTCGGTGTAGAGTCCTGGACCTTTACCCATGATTTCTGGCTTAAAATGGAGACCCAAAACAAGAAACAGAGTATCAAGCAGCGAGAGAGAGACGTATAGGGGGCTTGAAGAACACCGGAAAAACAACGCTAAGCTATATAAATTGGGGAAAGACAAAGGTTACGCTTTTTAGACCCAAAATAGCTCAACCTAGTTTAGTGTACAAACTTAAATGCACGACTTATAAGTAATATTGGGTTTATAGCTCTGGTTTTGATAATTTTGGGTTTGGAATAAAGGGAAAGTCGTGGGTTTTCTCTTGAAAGGTGTGATTCTTACGTGCGCTTCGGTCGATTGTGGACCGTTCGATTCGAGAGAGCGGTGTTTAGGTTATTTTTTGGCCGTAGATCGGAAGTGGCCTAGGGAATAGATTTATATTTATATTTTATATCGATGGCGATGAGGACATTTTAGGAAGTTCCTTAAGTTACACGTGGATTTATATATTAATTGGGCGAGGCATCGCCTTTATTTTTTTTCTTTGGGCCAAAAGGCAAAAAGCAAGAGAAAGCCTCATGAATTCATGATGCTAATTTATTTCCTTTACCCTTTAAACGACTAAGGAAATGTCCTGTCATCAAAGTATTTCAAGAGCTATATTCAAAAATTATAAAAATATCCTTAGTTATATTACCAATATACACAATAGATATGCTAGATAAAATAACTCAAAAAGTAGTAAAAATAAAATTGGACAAACAACCTTTTATGTCACCGACATGGGGCCCAATTTGGGGTGTGGCCAAAGAGTAGTAGAAAGGAGAGGCTTATGTGAGGATAGACAGTGTAAGGCATGGAAGTATTTTCTTTTACATATTTCGGATAGAGATGCACATGAAATTTAAACATCAACAACAGACGATATACAAATCTCATATGAATGGAGCAAAAAAATATAAAATATACAGTCATACATACAACAGAATACAGAAAATGTTAATCTCAAGATGACGTGTGGCTTTCTTAACCAAAACAATAGAGAGTAAAATGGGGACAAAAAATGTGTAAAGTAGAAAAAAAAAATAAGTAGATAAATATTATATTTAGAACCTTAAATTAGTAACTAATTACCTATTATATACATATATTAAAACCCATCCTGTTTATGAACAGTAAACTTTATTTTAAGCACATCGACTTGTACAAATGACTACTTCGTCCTTCAAATCCCAACAACCGTCTTCCGCAATCGTATACTCCCACCGCCAACGGTTTTCAAATGTTTCTCCAAAATCTTTGTACTCCATCCTTCTTCCTTTCCGTCTGCGTGCGTTAGAACCTTACGACTTCTTCTCCTCCAGGAAATTAGGGCTTGAATTCCATCGCTTATTTCAAATGCAATCTGTGTATCTCTCTCTCATATGCACACACTAACAATACTTCTGAAATAAATTGACAGAATTGGTTCCTTTGATCGGGGGCTGATATGGGCATATTTAGTTATAAAATTCATGCATTATCTTAATACTTTATGTTGTTTTTATCTCATTTAATGAACAAAAGGTGCTTAGTTAGTTTAAATATTTCATTTTTAGCAATAAAGACATGCGCGGAAGGAAGAGGAATCGGATTTAGCAATTGGAGGCTTGTATATTGATTTTGAAGAAAGAAGGATGTTGCTGAACAGCTTGACCCCTCGTCAGTGTTTTGGCCATATCTCATGAACCGTAACTCCGATTGACGAGATTCAAAATGTTCTGAAAACTAGACACAATTTCGGACGACTTTCGTGTTGTGAGAAAATGCTAATTCCAAACGGACTCGACGAGTTGGGCCTCAACTCGACGAGTCACTTCGAATGTTCGCGATTCTCGACGCGCTGACTTGTCGTACACGGGTTTTAAGTGACGGACTCGTCGAGTCGTTCACTGGACTCGACGAGTCACCTCTGTTTTGTGAAAATATATATATAAAGGGACTTTCAGATCGATACCCTGGCATGGAGAGAAACCCTTGGGTGTAAAGCTGCGATTAGAAGACCTGCTAAGGTGCTGGAAGCCAGAGAATCAACCCTAGATCCAATTTTGAGAAGAATCAAGGCAAATTCAAGTCCATTCTTACTTATTCTTTAAGTTGAACTATGTTTGAGTTGTTTGGTTTCGTTTTTGATCTTAGTTTTACTGTAATCATGAGCTAAAACTATTATCTTCTGTTTAGGATAGATGACTTTATGATTATGGTATGATTTTATGGTTAGGATTAATTTTATTTGGTAATATTGTTTTGTTAAGCTTGTTAAAGATCCTCATGTGTTAACAACAACTATTTGCTATTAATTAGCTAAGTAATTAAGCTGCATGAACATCACTTAACTGTTTATCTCATATGATTTATGTGAACACATTGTTATGTGCCTAGGAATAATGAATGTGAAACTAGGGTTAACTAGAAAATAGGTAAATTAATGTGTGAGCCTTGTGTGACGAACCATCAACAAGAGGTTAATTGAATTAGTAATTTGATTAGCTAATTACAAGTCTTACTTAACCCGAATCAATAGTCTAGGAAACTCATTAGTTTAACCAATTGGCCAATGTTTGAATTAATTTGTTTTCTAAGGATTAGTAATAGCGAACGTGAACCTAATCACACTAATCGGTAGCCAATAACGAATAATCCATTGCACTTACCATAAAATCAACCATATGAGTAAATGAGTCGAACCTAAATAGAAGTCTTCTCCATTATTGAATTTAGTGATTGTTTATTTGCTTTAGCTGTTAGTTGCTTAGTTTGAGTTTTATTTCATTGTTAAGTTTCTAGTCTTGCAAAACTAGAGAAACCCCCCTTTCTATTACTTGTTTTATTTAGATATCATTAGCATTTATTTTAATTGTTTACCGTTCCCTGTGTTCGATACCCTACTTGCTTGAACTATATTACTAATCGATAGGTACACTGCCTTTCGTGTGTTTATTTTGTGCCTAAGTTAGAAGGATTAAAACTAGTTCGTTTCACACACATCAAGTGTTTGGCGCCGTTGCCGGGGAACGGTTCTCAAAATTAATTTTAATTGCTAGTATTATCGATCCTTTGTGTGAGATTTATCTCATATAAAGTTACGAGTTTTTTTTTTTGTTTTAATATTTATTATGTATTTTCCAAATCTCGATGCTTTTGATGCTTTTCTTGAGGAAGTAGTACAGGAAATTGAGCAAGAAGATGAGGAGTATGACTCAGATGATGATTTGAAGGAATTTGGAAGATGGTTAGATAACATCTTGCCTAATGAACAAGAGAAATCTGAGTTACAAGAGCTAGAGTTAAAAGATGAAGATTTTAATCCAGAAAAAGATTTGGAGGAGCTGGAAAGATTACTAGCAGAGAGGTCAGATGAAGAACAAGAAAAACCTGAGTTGCAGGAACCAAGCCGTGGTTTGACCATTACCACGACGTGGCCACCTGTTCTTCCGGTTTGTGTTTCGAAGCATGGGGTGACGACTCCAACTTTGGATAATGTTCTGAAGCACGATCCATTTTTGATTAGTATCCAACCAGTTCCAACCCTTATCAAGATTCTTGGGTTATATGAATTGAAGCTCGTTTGGCCAACTTTTGAAGCAAAGAGCCAAATTTTACAAATTGGTCCACCAAAGAAGATATTCAATGCAACGGATGGATTGGCATTGAGTTTATTGGAAGTTTATTAAGTTGAGAGTCCAGCTAAAGACTCGCACAAAAAGAAGCGCTTGCGGGAGGCAACCCGTCATTAGAGTTTGTTTTTCTTTTTCTTTCTAAACTTCTAGTATTTAGGGATAATTTAGGATTTTTATTTTGATGTTTTTTTTTATTACTTGGTATTTGTTTTTGATCTTTTCAGTTTGAGTGTAAGGATGCATGCGAGAGTCTAGAGTCAAGGATAACCTAGGGAAAGAATCGAGTCTAGGCGAGAGAGAAAACGAAGTTTTGAGTCTAGTTACGAGTCCGGTGATGAAAGAGGTTATTAAGAGCTCATTTACTAAAGAAAAAATGGGGAAAGTATCAATTTAATATTCCCCACACACATCAGAATCGGACCTGGAGCAGAAACATTTTTTTCCATACAGCGATGGACTCGGCGAGTGCACTTACCTACTCGACGAGTCCCAGTATAAAAACTCGACTTCTGCCTGTATTACGCTACAACTCAGCGAGCCACACTACAAACTCGACGAGTTGATCCTTATTTTGTCTCTCAAGCTGATGATTTGATAATATTTGATACGGCAATTGGCTACATTTTTTAAGAACATTTTCCGAGCGTCTCCGAGAGTTTTTTTCGTCTACATTTGGAGCTATACCACACGATACTTGACACCCAAGACATGGATGAGTTGTTCCCATGTCTAAAGTTAATTGAAGATGGAGCTAAATTGAAGATGATCAGCCTCGCCACTGCTATCCCAGGGGAGTTTGTTCCAATTCCCTCTTTAGTTTAGTATTTTTCTTTATCATGCATAGCATGCAATGGGGACATTGCATGAATTAAGTGTGGGGTAGGGGGTTGGTCATATTAGTTGAATTAGAATCCTATTTTAGGTATAAATTTCGTAAAAATTGCTAGGGATAAATTAGGAAACTTTGGTAAAAAGCAATTAGGATTCCATGCTAGTATTGTGTTAGATGATTTTATGAGGACCCAAATGTTTAGTTGAGCCTATATACGTTCTAGTGCATTTGTGGCCTCCTTTATTCTAGTGAAATCATGGGACAAAAATACAACCTCGCTTAGTTTGAGGATCGCAATATGTTTAGCATCCTAAACCTGTAATGTATCCAGGAAAGCTTAAGTAGTCATTGCACTAAGACTAATGCCTTAACCAATAAGGGTTGAAGTTGAGCGCCTTTGCCTAAGCATGTAGGTTTTGAGAGAGAAAAAAGTGAGGTACATGTGAAAAAAAAGAGAGAGAATTACAAGAAAAAGTTTGAAAAATTTCTAGAGCATTCAAAGTCAAAGTCAAAGAAAGAAGAAAAATTCTGAAGAAATTCAAAAGTTGAAGATACCCAAAAATCAAAGAAAAATAAAAAAAGGTGGCAAATTTGAAGAAATCAAAGTTCAAATTATCAAGAAAGTGAAGAATTCCAAAAGAGCTCCAATATGGTATCAAAAGTT